ATTTAAGGACAGCGGTAGATCACTCGGTAGGAACGGGGACTCTCACCTTTAATTCTGTTTAGAGGATCGGTGATGGACCCTGGTCTCTGTGCTAAAAGACGTGATGGACTTGAGCAGAATTACGTTTTCACACAAGAGTGAACTCAGAAGAGTGCTGCTGACCCCTGCGAGCTCAGTTTTTTTTTTCCTAAATCCGCTCCACCTTGAATAGGATGAACTGTCCTCTTCATGTGACATTCATGGCTCTGAATTAAGTATCCAGAGCCATTGATTTTCCTCAAGTGTATAACCAAGGATAGGAATATGAATAAGGCATAGAGATTATCTTATTGGATCCACCAGCTCTCGCATTCAACAGCACAAGTGAGAAGAGCTTAGTTGTATTTCTCTCATCATTCAAGGAAGAACGTGCAAAAACAACAACTCTCCTAATTTTCCTCCCATGTTCAGTTTGATTGAACGTCTCATGCTGCCTGATGAGCTCAACTTTTCTCGTCTAATTCCCCCGACATTCACAGTATTTCTTACACAAGTCTGTCCGCCTTCCTGCTTTGTTTGTTCTCTCCGATTCTTAAATCAACAAATATGACTGAGGTGTTTTGAGGAAAATATGCCCATATCCCAAACGTTTGGGTATATTTTTAGTTTGCCATATGCTGTGTACTGTCATAAGGTACATTTTGCAAACACACAGCCAGATTCATGAATCAGTCGAACACTCAATCTCTTCACTGAAATGCATGAAAGTTCGTGCACTCAAGTCCAAAAATATTCTCTCCCGCATCACTTGATTTGCCTGTTTGAAGCATTTGATATTTTCACTTTACAGATGTGTATGTGCAGACATGAATAAAGGCCCAAGTCTCCAGCTATAAAAGCAGCCGCCTCCATGTGGTTTAATGAAAATAGATGCAGAAGTGCCAACATGTCTGCGTCTGCCATCCTATTTTCTTACTGTTCACTGTTCACATTTGCACTTAAGTGTGATTTCCAACAAGCACACACAAAGTCACCTCTCTTCTTATATGTCACTTGGACACAAGCACCATCAATCATGGATCGGTCATCAATCATACAGAACAATGTGTTTGTTTATTACATCCAATCACAGAAAGTTGTAGTTTGACTTCGGAGGTTTTGCCAACTAAGATCTGTCTTAAGTATTGACAGATCTGCTCTCTAATAGTTGATGAGTCACTGATTGACAGAATGAGTCAGACTCCCTGCTAGATATAATACTAGGGCGATCAAAGCAAGTTTCTCTTGCCCCAAAACAGAGGTTTAATTTAATGTGGTAGAAATGCTGTGGTGAAAAAGTAGCTTCCTTTGGGTATGTAGAACTTCTAAACCCAAAGTCTACATTTTCAGTTGCTGTGTGGTATTTATTGAACCATGAGTTTGCTGTTTGGCTCTCTGAGTATCAGTAAAATTAAAAACGATTTTCTCTTACTGATTCACAGAGAGGTTGAGCTTGAGGGAGAGTTGCCTTTTCAGAATAATTCACTAATTATTTCAGACAAATTGAGCAAACACAAACAAGGTGTAAACATTCAAGTTTAAAACTTCAGCATCCCAATCCCAATTGATATCAGAATCTTTCACTAAGCCTCACACGAACAAGCATTTCAGGTCCAGAGAAATGACTCTCAAATGGAGGCCAGCGGCCTTTTTAGGTCATTAATTATATATTTATCTCCAGCATTCCTTTTTGAGGCAGAACTTAAAATGTTTCCAACCTGAGCCTTCTGTTCTACCTCATTGATTTTTTTACTGGTCAGAAATGGGTACACAAAACAAGCGCACCCTGCTTATTCATGCGTTTACCTTCTACACTCCAGGTTTTCAAATAATGTTTTCTTTGCCTTTAGTGATTAAAAAAGACATACCAATCCCCTGTGTATTTGCAACTGCAGACCCAGTGTTTTTTTTTTCTTTCCGTCTTTGACATGAAGTCTCACCTACCACAGGTTCTGTTTTTCTTTTTATCTTTCAAACAGCTGAGTGAATTAAATCTGCTGCAGTAAAAAGTGCCCACGGGCCAGGTTCCACTTCACTGCTACCAAATGGTTTTGTCTTTTTGTGTTTGTGACTGACTGCACACGTGTTTGGGTTTGCACATAGACACACGCACACATGGGCCCTCTGTGTTCATGTTATATGCCTTTTTATTCTTTCTTCCAACCTCTGTGTCAACTCGGTCCCGGCATTTATGAGATTACTGGAGCCCGTTTGTGTTCCAGCGGGAGCCATCTTGGCTCAAAGTAGTCCTCCGTCGGGAGCCATCTGGGCTCTACTCAACATTTCCTCACCACATTTTGACCATAGCTTTTAACTTAAAGGAGAGAAGTGCCACAGATTCCAGTAATGTTTATAAAACTCTACAACTTAGTCCGATTGTGTTAATGATTTCGGTGGTATTTCAGCTGCACAAAGAACAATTCCCGTGGCAGTGTCATATATTACTGGGAAAAAATAGATGGTTGAGCACTATTTATAAAATCCACTGTTCATTCAGAGTAAAAGAAAAGCCAAATTATTTATCTTGTTTGAAAGTGGGGGAGGCTGACACCTAATTTATCAGAGTAATGTTATGTGTTTACTATAAAAAACTAAATCGAATGATTCAGCTACAGTAGCTGCAGAAAGAAAAAATGCGTATTGAAAACAACATTGGCAATCGTAGAATATTGTACAAATGAGTTTCGCTCAGTCATCACTCGTTAAACTGTTGTGACCGTGGATTTAAAACCTCTTTAGATGCTCCTATTGTACCATTAGAACTGCCTCTGGATCCCACTTATATTTTTGATATGATGCATAGCCGTCCTCACACCCTGGATATTTTCAGTTAAATATGAATATATCTTCACTGCAGTTTTCACTGACACTAATAGTGACTTATTCCTTTACATTGTAATGACTCTACTCTTGTTACTCCTCAAAATTGAGCTAAATGTTAGTGCCTCTAAATGAACAATTATCAGCTTGGCCCAGGGCGTAAAAAGTCCATTCACGGTGTATTTCATCTTTAGTGTGGATGTTTAACCCTGAGTGATTGCAGCCAGTTAAATGTGATGTTGCTTTTCGATCTGCTGTTTGTATTACTTAAATTCCCCATAGTTTTATTATTATTCGTTGTCAATGTGGCAGTCATTTCTCTCTGTTTTAATGGCAGAGTAATTTTTTTATATCTTCCATAAATAATTTAGAAGCTTCAACCAAAAGGTAAAGAGCACCGGCTGATGGCACCTTAATGTTGCCACCATTTTAATGTCAAATTTCATATTTCGGTGTAATGGAAGCAGAGCTGACCTGTGCTGCTGTGTGACTTTTTTTCCCCACTTAATGCTTACTGCACATGACATTCATGTCACAGCTTCATGGTCTGAACAATTGAATTTTCCCTCAAGCAACTCCTAAACTGCAGAATACTCTTCTCCAGAGCGCACAACCGAACAGAATCTGAAAAGTCGTCCGTCTCAGAGCAAGACTCTTATCCTGTTACCCCTTATTAGTAAGATTCTTGTCATAAAGAAGGTATTATTCTCCAGGGTCAGTTTTTTATGCTGATAATATTTTTTTAATCTTTCAGAAAACATAGATTTCTAGATAAAAAAAATCTCACTAGCTTTCGGAATGTTTTTGATGAAAGTGTATTTTTCAGGCTTTGCTTGTCATGATTTTTTGAGCCATATTCTAAACCAGTGGTTCTTAACCTTGTTGGAGGTACTGAACCCCTCCAGTTTCATATGAGCATTCACCGAACCCTTCGGTGATGGACAAGCAGGGGGCGTGTCATCACAAATCATATGAGTCGGGTGTGTGTCTCGACCTCCGTCGAACCCCTGAGACTGACTCATCGAACCTCAGGGCTTCGATCAAACCCAGGTTAAGAACCACTGTTCTAAACCAAGCTAACCTGACTGCTGAGAATGTGATCTCTATGTTAAGAGCCCATCTTTACTGGACTCCCTCCTTACGAGTATTGCATGTTATGTGGTAATGATTTTATGTTTTCATCAAAGCGTATGTTTATATTTAGCTGTGCGCCAGAATGCGCCATTGCTACAGAGTTGAATCGGAACTTCATGTCTTTGAGGATTAGTGATGCCAGAATGCGCCACTGCTACAGAGTTAAATCGGAACTTCATGTCTTTGAGGATTACTACAACAGTTTAAATGCATCAGTTTGCAATTTTTTTTTTTTTTTGCTTAATAATAGAGCAGATTATTCATTCATTAATAAAAGCTCTCAACTTTAGCTGAGAACAAGGCAGAGCAGTTTACAAACTTAATTCCCTTCAGATTTCCCTTGTGGCTGCAGGGCTAAGCAGCCCAGAGTCTTAATCGCTTGACTTCTTCCTATCTCTTCAACACACCTGCCCTCTCCATTTCTTGCTGACTGCAGCGTGAGAGTAGGATAAAATCAATTGATTTTTTTTCCCCCTCCCCTTCTTTCCCTGGTCGTCCATCACTTATGAAACAAAATGCAATGAATAGATAATTAGCCTGAATAGGCAGAATTTGGTTACAGTCCATTGTGGGCAATGTTGTGTGTTTTTTTTTTCCCTCCTTTGTCAGCAGGGTTAGCTTTTTCAGTGCCCTCATTTTGAAGAAATTGCAACTTGGCTGCCACTAATTGCAAACGCCTTAAAGTGCACAAAAAGTACATGACAATATTTAGAGTCTTAATTACTTTGAAGTGCAAAACAGATGTATATTCACTTCCACTGTTTTTGCAGACATGGATTTTACAGCAGAGGATTATCGATGGTAATGACAAACTTGCCTCTGTGTTCACAAATACCAGCGGTCCGTTGGGTATACATTTTGTTCTGTGTGTGCTGCGTTATCATTCGAGAACTCTCAGGGACGTATTGATTAAGAACAGTGTTGACTTCTTGGACGACTCCATTCACATCATCACTGAAGCCTAATGGTGGAATCAGAACATTGAGCAGTCTCTTATTTCTCCTTTTTTCTCTCTTATTCTGCTCCAGGTGGAAGTTGAAGTGGAGAGCATGGACAAAGCGGGGAACTTCATTGGGTGGCTGCACATCGAAGGTGTGAATCTGTCGGTGGCACTGGTTGAAAATGCCCTTTCCAAGGTCCACTTTACGGCCGAGCGCAGTGCCTACTACAAGACCCTGGTATCAGCAGAGGACACGTGCCGAGAGAAAAAAGAAAAGGTAGGATCCCAAAACATATGTTTAAAAAAAATGTACTGCTATTGCTGCTGCAGTTGTCCTGAATACCACTTTGTACAAACCAATACAAGTACAGGTATTTTTATTTGTGTACTTGCACACTGAGTACTGATACTGACAGTTCTTTAGGTTGGCTTTTAATAAATATGGACTGAACTGGGAGGCAGTGTTATATAGGTGACACTGCTGGGTTATATAGTGATCTGCAGTGTGTCGGTGTGAAGTCTTTTTCTATGTAAAATTGTACACACAAGTTTCAACAAAAAATCTACTTGGTGAGGTGTAAAGAGTATATGAATTTGCTCGATACCAGTACTGGCTTTGGTTTCGGGGAATCCTGAATGGCTGCTGATGTCAAGGAAAGTAGAAGGGAAATCCAGAAGGAATGTGTTCCTAACACCTACTATCTAAAAACAGATGTTTCCAAGCTAACATCAGTTTTTACACATTTAAGATTCACTTGATCATCCAGATTTCTGTTCACCTTCAACATCAGCTCTTTCCTTCTAGTAGTTCATTATTAGAGGTAAAGATGCAGTGGGCTCCAGTAAAGTCTCTTTAAAACAAAAGGGAGAAACGATAAAAAGCAAGTTTATCCTGAAGGAGGCACACAAATATATTCATTAAATGGTCGGCGACCAGATGCTTCCTTTGGCAGCACTTGTCCCCCATTCTAACAGCATGGGAACCATGCACTCTTATAAAGTTTCACACATTGCCCTTGACAAAGATGAAGCCCCACCCCCCTCCCCTTTGCAGGCCGGGCAGCCAATGAGTACATATGAAAATGTGACCTTTAGCTCCCAACGCTTAAAAAAAAAGAAAAGAAATTATATGCCGGTCTATAAAAATGTATGGAAAGAATAGCACCCATTGGAATATTCAGCTGAATGTCCTTTGTGATAATGAAATATAAGATCAAGTAAAATTATATGAACAGTCAATACCTGCAGTTAAAGCTGCAGTATTGTGAAAAAGCTCCATATGGGGCAGTGAAAAGCCACAGATCTGCGGCTATCATCAAAGCTTTCTTTCCTCAATGGGAGTTCTTTGATGGATGGAGGCTTCGCTCACACTGATACTCATCTTGCCCTGTATTTTCATTAAGGCTCCGCTACTCACCCCCGCCAGATGCATGAAGTGCCTGGCCAGCTGTCATGCTTGTCCTCCTTCTCTCTGTCTTTGTTACTTACTTCTTTTACCACTTCACCCTCTCTCGTCTTCCTTCTATTTTATCTACTCCTACATATTCGGGTCCTCCAGGAACAACGGATTCTTTCTCTGTCCGTGGAGAAGTGATGTATGGCAGGAGCCCGGCAGCGTCTGTATTCTCTTCTTCATTGGAATCTATCATGTTAGTCGCGAGCGTGTTTCCACTCATCTTTCTTGCTTGTCTGACTTTTGACTCCTCTTTTGTCATTGAGATACTCTCCGTGTCTTTCACAATTATGAAAGATGAGCCAAAGATCAAAGTGCAGAGCAGGAGTGCCATCGTTTGGGACAATTTTGCAAACAGCGAGAGCAGAGAGCAGTTAACATGTCCTTGGTTTGTTAGCACTACAACAAAAGCCTTGTTTTTGAAAACTGTTTTTTTTTTTTTTTCCAAAATTTAAAATCTCTCTTTACTCGTACCCTACGCCGTAAGCTATCGCATTAAACTACTACGGTAAACACAATTCAGACGACAGCCGAGATAGTTGCTTGGTTGGAGGTGTTTGTTTTCTGCCCCCAAATGAGTCATATGTCAGAGACATGTTATTCACACAAGGCAACATCACGAATTGGGATAAATTCTTCAAAATGTAAACAACTTACATAACATACCAATATTTGTCAATTTGTTTATTATTATTATTGTTTATAATTATTATATATATTATTATCAATGTTTATTATTTTGTTGCAATGGTCAATTAGTAGCTAGCGCTGTTGCCTAAAAAGCAGACAGTTGTAGATTCCATATCTGTAGTGTAAATGATTGGTACGTTTACTGTTAAGAAAAAATATATAAATAATAAATATATACATTTGGTGTGAATGCACAATGACACCAAATATATAAAGAAATCACATGTTCGGCTTTTGCATTTTCATTATGTTCTTTTTGGCTTAGTGTGTTTACTGTTGGTCTAATGTTGGTGACGAACTTTGGTAACTACATATTTACTGAAGTTGCAACTTCAGTCTCTCTGTGGATGCGCGTGTGGGTGTATGTGTGTTGGTGGAAACCAGTGCAACATGGAGGCACATGAGGTGGGAACTGCTGTTCTAATTAACCCACAGAGATGTCCACAGAAAAGCTGAGATTGTGGCTTTTTCTGCCGTGGCGTTCTCTTTTGAACTGGCTGATTTTATGAAGACCTGGGGTAGAAGGGGCCAGATCACATCTCCACCCCCTCCCTTCTCTCCCAGTTTTCCCCATTGCCCTAAGCAGAATCACTGTGTCCGGTGACCCTTAGAGAAAACAGACACACTCACACCGACCAAACATTTATAGAAACCTGTGTTCAGGTGGTCCACCAGGGGATTCTGGATATAGCAGAGGGGTTAGGAACTTGCTGGAGTAGTATCCTGAACCAAAACTGCTTAGTTGAAGTGGCTTAACCGAATATTGTGCCCCAGTCAGACCAATAGAAAATAAGACAAGTGTTCTAAATGAAAAATTCCATAGTGCTTGTAGATGAGCCTCTTCCAAAGCTCTGTGTATTTCAGTCTTACCTTTCAATGTTTTTGGAAGCTTTGGCACAAAAAAAAACTATTTATCCTAAACACAAAGTCTCAAATTGTATGAAAACATTTTTAATTCTACTCCTACTCTTAGTCTCAAATTGTATGCAAACATTTTTAATTCTACTCCTACTCTTGTACTCTGTTTCTGACTTTGTTTACACAGATTTCATATCATCTTTACTTCTCAGCTCAGGATTTTGTTTAAACTCGTTTTGCATTATCTTCACAGTTGCTGCCAAGTTAAACTCTTGTACATTTAGCTTAAATCTTTCGGCAGGCTTTACGTCACATGCCCGTATTTATTTGAACCCTCAGGGGTGAAAGAAAGGAACTCAATAGCTGCTTTCCAGGCATCTCTGTAAACATCAACGGTTGCAATGCGCTACTTTCTGTCGCCGAATTTTTGACAGCTCATCGCAGTTATTCATATCATGTTCCAGTATTCCCATGCTGCAACTGAGATAAATAACTCTGACAAGATAGCATCGCTTTTAAGTGGATTGGGAGCAGAGAGTTTGACTGGAGAGGTATTGGAATTAATTAACTACGAAACCTGAAAAAGTGGGGGATGTCAATATTTTAGTGACGCCCAATGCTTTTCTTTTTTCTTTTTTTTTTTTCTCCAAAAAACATGGCATCAAATACTTAGGAAAGAGAGTGTGGCTTTCACAGGGTAATAGTTGTGGTTTAGGGAAGTTCATTTATTTGTGTTTCTGTATAATAGTATTGTTATTAAGGCAACCATTTGATAGATACAACAGTGTAACTCTGTTGGATTGAAAAAAAACCATTGTGTTCATTAGTTGTTCAGTTCTGAACAGGTGATTCAACATCTGTTCGCTGATTAATAAACAGAGTGCTCACTGTTGGGTATTTTTTTCTGTAATTACCCAACCTTAAATGGGATTAACACACTCCTTTGGGTCTTCGATTTAAAGCAGGCTGCTTGAAACTGGGTGAGTAGACGAGTCCAATAGAAAAAAAAAAAGGGTCATGACGGCCTTTTTTAATGGTGACTCTGACTTGCATCATTGGTTCTCCCTCTCTGTTCTCCTTCATCTAATATTTATTGGAAACATTTATTTCATTCTCTTGTTAAATGTCCTATTTTTGGTGCGTTTCAATGGCGTCATTTCAAAAAAATTTAGGATGACTATTAGATTTGAGACAGACTGTGTCATAGAGATCACTTATTTACAATTAGGCTGTTTACTTTTTGTCGGGAACTAGCGGCACAGTACTGTAATTGCATTTTCTTGAAGTCGTTTCACGTCTGATCAGAGAATTAACGTGGTCTTGTTGGCAGTTTAAAAGCTAGCACCTGGATATGGTTGACATGTCAGGTCTCATTCAAGTAGCTACTTGTGGGTTCCTTGACAAACGTACAAAAGGCTTCTTCAGAACTGACTTGTCTTAATGACTATCTTCAGAACTAAAGCAGCCCATTTTGGCACTTAAGAACCACCTGGTTAAAAGATAAAACACTTGAGCCTTAGAACTAAGGAACCCACCTGAGGACTACTAAGTGATGTTTGTAAGTACTATACCCTGGGTGACTCCACTCATCATCGACATGGACAAACTGGAATATTTACCAATGAATATGTCTGAATCCGATGTAATCCGGTTTCTTCATCTATTCTAAATAGAATAGGTATACAGTCGATAACAATCCATTACTGTAGGCTGTGCTGTTTGGCAGTTCTCTGCCACATTTACACCATTTGCAGAGGGAACAAAATAATTTCCTAATCTGTGCTGCATTTTTTTGACCTGCCAATCAACACTATTCTTTGAATCACTGGAAGCAGCACCAGTTTGACATTGAGCTTGTTGACATGTCCTTGGTTGAGCCTGATTGAAGTACATAATCCTGTTTCAGCTTTCTCTTTTTTGGGGGGGTTGGAAATCAGAGTTGCAAGTCCTGCTGATGAGATTGACACTTCTCCCAGAAGCGTGTGTACAAAAGTATACATTAACACATGGCTCAGGCCAATCATTTTTTTTGTACCACAAAGCAGAACACAGCCCTGGAATTTGCTGTGATTGGCTGACCAGCGTTGTAAGCATGTCCTCGTATAATGGTGTGATGCAATTTTTTGCCCCTTTTTACACTTTACTTGCCTGCAGCTCATGCTTTCCAGCGCCTTGCAAACCAAGCACCAGAATCAACTGAAAAGTCCCAACACAATCTTTTTTTAATCATGATTACCACCGTTTTTTGTTTTTTTTTTTTTTTTATGGTAAGCATA